AGCGCTGTCATCACCAGGGTGCCTGGCTGCAGCCTCTGTGACTCTGAGCTTCCTGTGACCTCCCCACTAGGCTTTCCTGCCTCAGAACGGGTCACCCCAGAGCCGATTCCTATGTAAGGATTTGAGGGCCTCACAGAGGATTCATTGGGGGAATGATCCCACGCAGGGTTGTCACCAATAGGCAGGTGACACCAGGGGCAACCCCAGGAGATTTCGGGGTCCACCTGGGGGCAGTCACCCCACCCAGTTGCCCCAGAAAGGGCCCAGCATGTCCCTGTGCAGGGAGATTCTGAGGGAGGCAGCAGTGGGGTCCCTGGGTGGGCCTGGGTGTGTCCTTGTGCTCAGCACAGGTCTGTCGCCAGGGTGCCTGATGACAGTGCTGGGGGGATGCAGCGGCTGGGGGTGTCAGCACAGGCCTGAGCCTGGGCCAGGCCTGTGGTGGGGCTCGCGGCCACTCAGAGGCCAGATCTGGGCTGAGGGTGCAGCCAGGGCGGGTGGTGAGTGGCCTCCTGAAGTGGCCCTGACTGGGGTTGCTGACGCATCGGCTCCGATGACTCACGTGCGGGTGACCGTGACTCGAGTGGCCGTCTGGAGATTCGGACCAGCTCAGGGCCGCCGCCGCCTTCCTGGGGGCCGTGGCCCTACTGCGCCGGCCGCCCCCTGTCTGGGCTGGCCTGAGTAATGGGTCCTTCCCCTCCTCCCAATGACCGGCTGGAGAGGACCTTAGTCATCGGCCCAGCTCTCACCCTCCCTCTTCCTCCTGCCCACCTCCGCCCAGGCTGGCCTCACTTCTCTGTCCAGGCCACTGTGGCCTTCTTTCCCCCCGATCCCCCCGGAAGGGAAGCAGGGGTTAGATGTGGCTTCACGGGGCAGCAGCATAGCCTGGTATTGGGGGGCAATGGTGGGGGGCCTCAGGGTCCCCTCTGTAAGATGAGAGGAAGGAAACAGCTGTGTAGGGGTGTTGAGTATAGGGGCATGAGGAGGTGGCCTGGGAGGATGAGGCTCCCCCCATGCAGCTGGGACCCCACCCTCCTACCAGAAGGAGTTACCATCCTAACTCCAGATGGGAGCATCTGAGTTCCTGGAGTGCACAGTTGTCAATGCCAGTGACAGCCTCCATCCCAGGACCTGCATTTGCTCTTCTCCAGCAGCCCCGGGGGGACAGGACTGTCATTTGCCCCCACTCTGCAGCTGAGTGACTGCCAAGTTCACAGCTAACCAGAGCTGGCTTGATTCCCCAGACCCAGAGCAACCCCAGCCCAGCCCCCATGCCTTCCCCGGGAGACCTTGCCATCCAGGTCCCACAGCCTCTCCACTTGCTGGGAGCCCTGAGACTCCTGTGCCCAGTGCTGCTAGCCACCCCTTGGCTTCCTTTTTTCCATAACCCTGACAGCAGAGAGCAGAGACACGTGGGCGCCCACGCTCTCATGGCAGCACTCCGCTAGCTTTGCAGTCCTCCAGATGCATTCTTACACACTCAGGGAGATGCATGTGTCACACCTTGGGCACCGGTGGCAGCCACGGAGTGCACACTGTACCTTCCTTCCTCCTCCTGCCGTGGGTGCCATCCCCAGGACATGTAAGGGGCAGCCTGGCATCGCTGTTTTGAAAGGTGCTGTCATTCTGTGTCCCCTTGAAGGCTGTTTGGCTTGTTTCTCATCTTTGACCCTCGGTGGCAGCATCTGTGTGTCAGAAGTGGAGTTGCTGGGTCAGGGACAGGAGCCTTCAGAATGTTGCTAGAGTTGCCCAGCTGGCTTCCCCTGTTGCCCGCCTCACACTCCCATCATGAGCCCATCCACCTTCCTATGAGTGAGGGCCAGTCTCCGTGCTTTTCTGGCTGACTGCATGCCTTCCTGTGAACCATCAGTCTGCATTTTTGTGCCGCTTTCTTCAAGGCTACTGGGTTTGTGTTGATTTCCTGATGTCCTCTATATACAAAGGAGCACAGGAAGTATAGGTCCAAGGACTGCGTTGCCCCATGATGAAGTTGCCTTGGCGTGAAATCTTTATTCTGGTGAACTTGTGCACCTGCACACCTGTTCCCAAGGACTTAGAGAAAGCACAAGGAGTCCTCCTACCCCATCCCAAATCTTGAACTTCTAAGAAAAACCAGAGCCTGGCAGGGCCTGCCTGCAAATCTGGGAGGTGAATTGTCTGCAGAAAGGCCTGCAGGGCTCCCTGGGCCCCTGCCGTGGGCTGTACTCTTGGGGGCCTACCAGCTTCAAGTTCTTCCATGCCTGACTCCGTGTGATGGAAGTAGAGGCACCAAGGGGCTTGCAGGGGTGGATGGCGTCCCTCAGAGAAACTGGGAAGTCCAGGTCTGTGGCCTTTGTTTCCCAGGAGGGCCTCAGGGCAGCCTGGTAACATCCGAGGCCCATTTGGCAGCCAGGAAAGCCGAGACCCAGGGAACGGGCCGAGTCCCCCAGCCGGCCGGTAGGGCAGCGGGTGGAATCCTGCCCCTCAGCCCGCACATCTGTTCAAGCCTGTCTGCCTTCCACGCGTCTGTGGGGTCCCTTTCAAGCTCCCTGTGTGTCGGAGGCTTCCGCAGGTCCGGGCGTGGGCAGCCAGCCTTCCCGTGTCATGCGCATTTGGAGGGCCTGCGGGCAGAGTGGCCCTGGGTCCCCTCTCCCCGTCCGCTCTGAGGTGCACACGGGCATCCATCTTTGCCGGACTGCTCCTCCTTCCCCCACCTTCTCGTCTTCCTCCTTCCTCGGCTTTCCCCTCCTCCTCCTCCTCCTCTCCCTCTCCCTCCTCCCGTTCTCCACCTCCTCTTACACGTCCTCTCCTCCCTCTCCCTCCTTTGCCTCCTCCTCCTCCCTTCAATCCCATTTGGCTGTCTCCTCCTCAGGACAGCCCCCTCCCCCCACCGCAGGTTCTTGGTGCATGGAGCGGTCATTGTACATCCACACCTGTCTCCGTGGGTGTCCGTCTCCCTGCCAGAGCCTGGAGTGTCACAGGGCAGGCCTGCCCTATCTGTGAAGCGCCAGCTGGGGCGTGAACGCGTGGCTGGGGTGGGGCCCCTAAGGTCGGGAGGCCTGAGGCACTGCTCTTGGGCCCACTCGACCAGTGTGCTGACTGTGGCCCAGGTGCTCCTGTCTGGCTGGTGCCCCAGGGTGGGCCTGTAGTGCCGCCTGCCTGCGGAGCCCCATGTGCGGAGAGGAGTGGGGGGCCAGGGCCGGGGGCAGCCAGGGCAGCTTCTTAAAACGGCCAGTCATACGGGTTCACCCTTCTCAGGGCAAGGCCTCAGGTTGGAAGCAAAGGTGGTGTGTGTGCGCCCAGCCGCCATGACGGCAAACGGGGTTGTGGAGGCCAGCCAAGTGGTGGGAGGAGGGCGAGTAGCCAGCACAGGGGTCTGCACACCGTGAGGTTCCCCCTCCTGGGTCCTCCAACCCATGTTCCCGCTCTCCGGGCTCCTAAAGCACCTTGCAGGCAGGGCGAGAGCTCAGGCAGCTTGCTCTGCCCAGTAGCACCTTGCCTGTCTGTGGTCAGTGTTGGCCCCACAGCCCTTCCATCTGCCAGTTGTCACCCACCTTTCCCAAGGGGCCCTGGAAGCATGGCCTGCGGTGGAGCAGTGGTCAAGGACCCCTGGTTGCAGTGGCGCATGGAGTGAACACCAGCTGTGTGCCCTGAGTTTGAGGTCAGCGCCTTCACACTGCTAGTTTGGAGCCCTCAAGCCCACTGCCCCACCCGTTTCTTGAAAAGACCAGGGCTTGAGTGCTTGGGCCTCACGTGGGCAGGGTTGGTCTCGGGAGTCCCAGAGGGCAGAGGCCATGGGGACAGAGCAGGGTGCTTGGGGACCTGATCCTGGAGATAGCAACAGTGTCCCCTCGTGTTATGTTGAGGATGAAATGACGTTTCAGGCCTTCAAAGCGAGTCCTTCATTGAACCACTCAACAAAAACTTTCCAAAATAAAATAATGAAAGGGCTGGAAGGGCTAGGGAGAAGAGATGAGGGTGATGGGCAAGGGGGGTTGGACCCCAGAGGTCTCATATCCCTGAGGTGATGCTGGGGGTCATGGCTGGGTTTGCACGGGCTGAGCAGGAACCTGAGAAGGCTGCCATGTCTTTTGTTTTGTCTTTTATTTTATTTATTTATTTATGGAGATGGAGTCTCACTATGTTGCCAAGGCTGGTCTTGAAGTCCTGTCCTCGAGCAGCCCTCCTGCTTCAGTCTCCCAAAGTACTGGGATTACAGCCATGAGCCACCGTGCCCTGGCCTGTTTTGTTTTTTATTGAAGTGAAATTCACATAATATTAAACTAACCATTCTGGCTGGCACAGTGGGAGGAGGACTGCTTAAGGCCAGGACTTTGAGACCAGCCTGGGCAATATAGCGAGAACACCATCTCTACAAAACAAAATAAAACAAAACAAAAAACTAATCATTTAAAAGCATACGATTCAGTGGCATTCAGTACACTCACAATGTTATGCAACCACCACCTTTGTCAAGTTCCAGAACTTTTCATCACCCCAAAGGAAACCCTGTTCTCCTCCCCAGCTCCTGACAACCATGAATCTGATTCCTGTCTCTGTGGACTTGCCTTTTCTGGACATTTTCTTTTTTCTTTTTGAGTCAGAGTCTCACTCTGTCACACAGGCTGGAGTGGAATAGCACGTGTACAGCCACCACAGCCTCGACCTGATGGGCTCTGGCGATCCTTCTGCCTTAGCCTTCCAAGTAGCTGGAAGAACAGGTATGGCCTCCATGCCTGGCTAACTTTTTGATTTCTAGTAGAGATGAGATCTCACCAAGTGGCTTAGGCTGGTCTTGAACCTATAGGCTCAGGCAATCCTCTCGCCTCAGCCTCCCAAAGTGCTGTCATCCCAGTATGAGCCACTACACCCGGCCAGACATTTCTATCAATGGAGTCACACGCGGTGCAGCCTTCCTTGTCTGGCCTCTTGCTCAGCATCACGCTTTCAAGGTTCTTCCCTGCTGTGGCGTGTGTGGGAACCTCAAGGCCTCCAGGCTGTGTCCCCCTTTGCTCTTCCCACAGCACAGCCGATAAGAACGGGGCCCTCAAGTGCACCTTTTCGGCACCTGGCCACAGTGCCAGCCTCCTGCAGGGCCTGGCCACCCTCCGTGCTCAGGGTCAGCTCCTTGATGTCGTGCTTACTATCAACAGGGAGGTCTTCCATGCACACAAGGTGGTCCTGGCTGCCTGCAGCGACTACTTCAGGTGAGTGTTGGCACCGGGTCTCCTGGCAGGGTATCTGTCTGGGAGTGGGGATGGGACAGAGAGCACCCTCTACCTGAGGGGGGCCCATCTCAGGGACAGCCTTGAGGGATGGTGGCTACAGTGGATGCTCTCCTGACTTTAGAGAGAAGCCAGCATCCTGGAAACCTGTGGCTTTTGCAGGTTTGCGTCCTACTCTTTGTGGGCAGAATGAGCCTGGGGGTACAGAGCCGGTCCGGGGGTGCCCACTGAGTGGCTTTCACACTAGGGGTGCCTGGGCCAGGCCTTTGCTGGACACCTGCTGCATGCTAGACCTTGTTCTAAGCCTCAGGCCACAGCAGGGATGAGGTGAGCATGGGTCCCTCTTGTCAGGGAGCCCACCCTCAGGGCACCTGCAGTGGACAGCCCAGGGACTGGTGGGACATCCAAGGAACTTGCTGGTGCCCACGTGCCAGGCTCTGTCCGAGGCCCGGATGAGCTGTGGATGTCTCCCTCACATGACAGATGAGGCCTGGCCGGCGCCCGGGTGTGTCTGTCTGTCCCTGAGCTGTGGCTGGGCCGAAGCAAGGGCCTCATGGAAGAGGGGTTCTCGCCAGCTGGGGGCTGTCATGGAGCTGAGTGGCCTCCCTTCCTCCCTTGGTGACCAGCAGATGTGCCTCCTTTCAGTTGGGCAGTGACCTTGCTAGCAGAGCCAGGTCCCTGGGGTCTCCAGGCTGGCCCCAGCCCAGGAGCAGCCCCAGGTCACACGTTCCCTGAGGCCTAATGCCTGGCCTGGTGCCCCCCGTGCCCACCCCAGGAGCCCAGCGAGGCCACTGTGGGAGCTGCAACAGCTGAGCCAACGGGGGCACCGTGGCTATTTTTACTCTGGATTTGGGGACGGGTGGGCCCAGCCAGCAATGCCCTTTAAAGGCTCCATTTCGAGGGTACTGCAGCCAGCCAGGCCTTAAAAGGCAATGCTCCCTCCCATTGCCATGGCCACCCCTGTCTTCAGTGCCTGATGCCCGAGGACTGGCAGGGACCCGGAGGAACACATAGGGCAGGGTCTGGGAGCCAGCAGAGCTGCTCCTGAACAGCGCCGAGATACACATTGGGCAGATGTGAGAGCCTTGCGATGGTACCTTGCATCTGTCCTTGCCCCATGGCCTGCACCTGGCAGGAGACTAGGAGAAGGACATCTCTCAGGGGCTGGACAGGGAACGCTTCCTCCCCCATAGGCTGCTGTCAGAGAAGGTGCACTGACAGTCAGAGTTATCATGGGACGCCAGCCTGCCCATGAGCCCATGAGAAACCCACCCCCCACCCCCGGAGCTGGTGCTGGGGTTCTCTCCCTCTTCCGCTGGGAGGCACCTAAAAGCCATAGGGACTGTGACCCAGAGCTGCGAGCCTCCCTCCTGCCCAGGGGCCTATGTCCTCTCATCGGCTGTCACATTATCCATTACTCAGAGCAGGACAGTGTGGTGTCAGAGATCTCACAGTAGATTGGGGATTTAGTCCATGACTCCTCTGGGCTGTGAGTGGGTGGGGGGGTGCTTCCCTGACTACCTGGGACCTCTCCTGGGAGCTCAGTCACCCCCGCACAGCCTCCTGGACCCCATCACCTCCTATCCCCATGTGATGGTTGCTGAGACTCAGGTTGAGGAAGACAGAGCCACCTGCCTAGGTCCGCAGGCAGGTGTGGGCTGGGCTCTGTGGACTGTGATGCCAAGTGCCCCTAGAGCCCCAGCCTCCTCCCCTGAGCGGTGGGGCTGCGGATCTGTTCCCAGAGATGGAGTGGTGGCTCCCCTCCTGCCCAGCTCCACCCCTTCAGCCACTGCCCCCGCCCTCCCAGCCGCTGGGTTTCAGCCATGTGGGGGAGGCTGACCCAGTGACAGGAGACCACTGCAGGGGGCAGAGCAGGGAATTGCTGTTTCTAGGAAGACACACAGCTTGGGGTGGATTGAAAATCCATGTTTTTAACGAGCATCTGGCCTGCTCTCCTCTTGCTGGCTGTGCCCCATGCCCCGTGTCTGGGACCACTGTTCCCGAGGCCATGCTGTTCTGGGCTGGCTGGGATGGCCCTTGGCTGCCTCGAGCCCGCTAGCTGCGTTTCTGCCTCCTAGGGCCATGTTCACGGGCGGCATGCGGGAGGCAAGCCAGGATGTCATTGAGCTGAAGGGCGTGTCTGCCCGTGGCCTGCGGCACGTCATCGACTTTGCATACAGCGCAGAAGTGACCCTGGACCTGGACTGTGTGCAGGACGTGCTGGGTGCCGCCGTGTTCCTGCAGATGCTGCCAGTGGTGGAGCTGTGTGAGGAGTTCCTCAAGGCGGCCATGAGCGTGGAAACCTGTCTCCACATCGGCCAGATGGCCACCACCTTCAGCCTGGCCTCGCTGCGCGAGTCAGTGGACGCCTTCACGTTCCAGCACTTTCTACAGATCGCCGAGGAAGAGGACTTCCTGCGCCTGCCCCTGGAGCGCCTGGTCTTCTTCCTGCAGAGCAACCGCCTGCAGAGCTGCGCCGAGATCGACCTGTTCCGTGCGGCTGTCCGCTGGCTGCAGCATGACCCAGCCCGCCGGCCGCGTGCCAGCCATGTGCTCTGCCACATCCGCTTCCCACTCATGCACGCCACGGAGCTGGTGGACAGCGTGCAGATGCTGGACGTCATGGTGGAGGATGTGCTGTGCCGCCAGTACCTGCTGGAGGCCCTCAACTACCAGGTACTGCCCTTCCGGCAGCACGAGATGCAGTCGCCTCGCACCGCTGTGCGCTCAGACGTGCTGTCGCTGGTGGCTTTTGGCGGCACGCCCTATACCGACAGCGACCGCGCCGTCAGCAGCAAGGTGTACCAGCTGCCTGAGCCTGGTGCACGCCACTTTCGCGAGCTCACGGAGATGGAGGTGGGCTGCAGCCACACATGTGTAGCTGTGCTGGACAACTTCGTGTACGTGGCCGGGGGCCAGCACCTGCAGTACCGCAGTGGTGAGGGCGCCGTGGACGCCTGCTACCGCTATGACCCACACCTGAACCGCTGGCTGCGGCTGCAGGCCATGCAGGAGAGCCGCATCCAGTTCCAGCTGAATGTGCTGTGCGGCCTGGTGTACGCCACAGGCGGCCGCAACCGTGCAGGCAGCCTGGCCTCGGTGGAGCGCTACTGCCCCCGGCGCAACGAGTGGGCCTACGCCTGCTCGCTGAAGCGTCGTACGTGGGGCCACGCAGGGGCCTCCTGCGGGGGCCGCCTCTACATCTCTGGCGGCTACGGCATCTCGGTGGAGGACAAGAAGGCCCTGCACTGCTACGACCCGGCGGCCGACCAGTGGGAATTCAAGGCGCCTATGAGCGAGCCACGCGTGCTGCACGCCATGGTGGGCGCTGGCGGCCGCATCTATGCCCTTGGGGGTCGCATGGACCACGTGGACCGCTGCTTCGATGTGCTGGCTGTGGAGTACTACGTGCCAGAGACAGACCAGTGGACCAGCGTGAGCCCCATGCGCGCTGGCCAGTCCGAAGCCGGCTGCTGCCTGCTGGAGCGGAAGATCTACGTCGTGGGGGGCTACAACTGGCGCCTCAACAATGTGACGGGCATCGTGCAGGTGTATAACACAGAGACGGACGAGTGGGAGCGGGACCTGCACTTTCCCGAGTCCTTTGCAGGCATTGCCTGTGTCCCTGTCCTGCTCCCGCGGGCGGGGGCCAGGAGGTAGCACCTGGCCCCTGCCCCTGCTGTTTCCAGCCAGCTCGAGCCCCGCCTCCTGCCCCAGGCTGGCCTCAGAGCCCCCATCCCCACCCCCCGCGGTGCTGCTGAGCCCGTGCCCAGGATTTCTTGGCTCCCTCCTTCCCAACACAGATCCTGGCTGTATCCAGCCCAGGGAGCCTGCCTGCCATGCGCTGACGGTTGTGGCGGCAACCTTGCACCCAGGGCAGCTGTGCAGCCTGGCTTGCAGGTGAGATCTGGGTCTCTCTTGTGGTAGCCCTCGTGGGGCTCTGCCTGGCTTCTCCCTGCTCCTGGTTTCAGGCGTTCAGATGTGAATGAGCTCATGTATGTCGAACCCACAGTCCGTGGTATGCAGCTTGCCCCCTCCAAGCCTCTCGTGCGCATGTTTTTAAAATCCACTCGCCCCAAACCTCTATGACCTGCAGACCTCCAGGAGCAAGGAGAGGCAGCTCAGAACCCTTGGCTAGGGTGATGGAGGCCTGGGCATATCCGCCCTCCCCCTTGAGCCCCCCCCATGCTGACCCTCATCCTGAGCTGTGGGGAGGAGCTCCTGCTGGCGTTCCTGTCCTCAGCCCCAACATCTCAAGTCACTCGCCCATCTGCTTGGAGGGGGAGGAGTCACACCCAACTCCCAGAGATGGTCTGGGGCCTCCATCTGGCACTGAGCACCTGGGGCCTTGAGGAGGGGTCCAGATACCCTCGCCATGTTTGGCCCTTGTAACCAGCCAGCTTCTTCCCGTGGCTGCAGGAGGACGTGGCTTGAACCTTACGGTGCATCTGCACCCGCAGGTCTGCCGGCTGGGGTGATGTTCTTTCCCTCCCTCTTTTCCGCCCCCCCCAACCCCCAACCTGACCTGCTTTTAGGCCAACATGGCCCGCGCCTGAGCCCACCCTCAGGGACGCCAGGCAGGCGGGGCCTTTCCCCCTGAGGGCCTGGCCAAGTTCATTTGGATGTCTGAACCTCTGAACCTTTTCTTTTTGTTTTGTTTTACTTTATTTTAAGAAGCCAGTACTGCTGTCTTATAAACGGGATTTGTACTCTCGGGGCAACTTAAAGTGTCTCCCTTGCTGCTCATGGACGATTGATGTCGTGTCTCTGTGACCCACTCACCGTGTAAAGAATTAACCTCGTATCTCAGCAGACGTCGTCTCCTAATATTTCCCTTTATTTAATAAAAATGTTATGGTGAAAAGATGGAGCGGGCCCAGCCAGGACTTGTGGGCTTAGGCCTGATTGGTCGCAGATTCCTTTTGTGTCCTCTGTGTGTGGGGGCTCCCCTCCCTGCCTCGGCCTTTTCCAGCCTTGAGAGGAGCGGGCAGGGGGCTGGGTTTTGGCGCAGGGGCCTCGGGAGCTGTGGCCAGGTCCCCCTACCTCCCCGTGACCAGAGCAGGGGCAGACCTGAGGCGCCCTGCAGGCGGAGGTCCGCTCCCAAGAGGCAGTGCTGGCCCCCACGGGGTCTGTCTCCCACTGCTCAGTCCCAGGGTGCAGATTGGACAGGCAGCCCAGGGGTCCTTCCGCCACAGGGCATGATGGAGGAACTGCAAGCAAGTCCTCCAGGAAGCATGAGCCACCGCCCCTCCACGTGGGCCCAGCGCCCCCCGACCCCCAGCCCTGCCCTGGCCGTGGTGGGCCTGGCCATGAACTGGGCCTCCCGGAGCAGGCTGCTCGCTGGCTGCGGGTCAGTGGAGGGTGCCTGACCACCCCCCATGCCTTCCACATGCAGGGCTTTAGGCCTGGCTCCCGAGTGGTGGCCGTCCGGCTCGGGGTGAGGCTGGGGCTGGGGCAGCGTGTGAGCAGCGCTGAGATAGGAACTTGGTTGCGAGCCTGGAAGGAGCCTGCGCTGCCAGGGGCATCAGAGCAAAGGCAGCAGTCCTCAGGAACGTTCCGGAACTTTCCAGTCCCACCCCGACCTGAGTTCCCCCGAAGAGAGTGCCTCTCCATCAGCGGCACAGCCCCTTCAGGGGGGCAGTGGGGAGCCTTTGCCAGCGGCAAGTCCCCCAGATCAGCTCACACCTCGGAACATCTTGTCCCCAGCGACTGGCAGGGCTGCAGCCGGGCGGGGGGCGCTGCCGTATCTAACCGGATCGATTGTGCGTAACCGTCTGGGCCGGTTCATGGAATGTTCTCGGGGCCCCCCGGCCCCTCCCTTGGCCTCCCCCACCCCCTCAAGAAAGGAAAATTATTTTTCATATTGTAAACTTTAAACACAAAAAAGCTGTTTTTAATTTAGCAGAAACTGGCTTGAATCTTCACTCTGTGAACATTGGTGTCTCTCAGAGAGTGGTGGAACACGCCTGCGCACACTCACACATGCTCGCACGCACCTGCATGCGTGTACTGTGACACACCCCCCACATCCATGCCCTTTGTTTCTGCACGCGTGTGCTTACACGCTGTGACATGCTCAAGCGCCCCCCCACACAGGGCAAGCTGCAGGCTCACATGTATGCACATACACATGCGCGCCCCCGGCCCGGCCCACCCTGCCTGATGCCCCGCGGGGCCCGGAACCCCGCACCTCCTGAGCTGGGAGAGGCCGTCCGCTTCCAGACGCCCTGCTTCCTCTGAGGCCTGGACGCCGTCCGCGGGCGCCTCCCTCGCACCTGGGCCAGGCTGTGGGAAACACTCTGTCTCCCGGGACGGTGGGATGCAGGCCCGCCAGAGGGAGGCCAAGTGTGACTTCTGGGGCCTTGCCGCTAGTGAGGGCCAAGGCAGCCCCCGGGGAGCCGTGTGAGGTGGGAGTCCGCCCAGACCTGGCTGGCTTGGAAGCCTGCCCCTGGCGCCGGCTCCGGCTCCCCACCTCTCGCAGCCCTGAGACTCGCTTCCTCGGTGCAGCCGCTGTGCTCCGCTGGACGGGCACACCTGGCCGCGGGCCTCAGAGGTGCTGGCACAGAGGGCACAGCCCAAGCATGGGAAGTACAGGGAAGACGCGAGTGCAGACCCTCCTCCGTGCCAGCGTCCGTGGGCACGGTCTGCATGCAGATCCCCGGGGGGGGCGGTACAGCAGGGGGACACCCAGCTGTGCCCCCACCCCCAGCAAGGCCCTGCTTAGCTCTCATCTTCCTGTCTTTTTGGAGGCCAGCAGCCATGCCTCCCTCCTCACAGCCCACCCTGATCTGGTGCCAGCAGCAACGTGCCCAGCCTAGGGCTTGCAATTCAGTGGAGCCGTTCTTGGCAATGCCTTTTGTCGGTTGTTTTCAGCCTGGGCATGTTTCCCAGCTCTGGCCAGCACGCTTGAAGGGGTCGGGTATTTCCGGACAAGGGAGAGGCCTTGTTGCCCCCTTCCCTCCCTCGCTGCTTCTCATGAGGATGCGATACCAGGAGCTTCTGCAGCCATCTTGTGGCCATGAGGAGCAAGTCAAGTTGAGAGCGGCACAGACACACCCCTCCCAGACCTGAGGGCTCCAGGCCACCTATTGTATCCTGACCCTTCTGATTTCCAGACACCTTATCATGAGATAGAGCAACATCTCAGCTGCTTAAGTCACTAATGGTCAGACACTCTGAAGCTTGTAACCAAACAGTTCCAAAATAGTAATATAAATGTGACAATGCTGGGGTTTCCCTTATCATGTAAGTCAGGTGTTTTTTGGTTTTGTTTTGTTTTTTGAATTGGAGTCTCACTGTTGCCCAGTCTGGAGTGCAGTGGCATGCTCATAGCCACCGCAGCCTTGACCTGCTGGGCTCAGGCAATCCTTCCACCTCAGCCTTCCAAGTAGCTGGAACTACAGGCTCCCATCACCACACGCAGCTAATTTTTAAACTTATTGTAGAGACGAGGTCTCGCCAAGTTGCCCACACTGGGCTCGAACTCCTGGGCTCAGGCAGTCCTCTTGTCTCCACCTCCCAAAGTACTGGGATGACAGGTGTGAGCCACCGTGCCTGACTAGGGTGGCTTTTTCTTTTTTTTTTTCCAGTCAGGGTCTCACTCTGTTGCCCAGGCTGGAGTGCAGGAGTATAATCATAGCTCACTGCAGCCTTGACCTCCTGGGTCCAGGAGACCCTCCCGCCTCAGCCTCCCAAGTAGCTAGTACTATTAGGACTATAGGAGTGCACCACCGTGTCTGGCTAATGTTTTTTTTTTTTTGAGTTGAAGTCTCACTCTGTCACCCAAACTGGAGTGCAGTGGCCG